CCCGCCTGCCTGGTCCCTGTCTTGCCCCACACCCTGACTCTCCACCCGGCCCTGCCCAGGCCCTGGCTGTATAACCCTACCACTAACGCCACAGCCCGGGCCTGACACCCTGTCCTCCCCGCTTCCTGGGCCCAGCAACACTCGCTGGAACCCCACCAGAAGGAAAGGAGAACCCACCAGCCCCAGGCTTGCCCACCTGGTCCATCACAGTGACCTGGGGTATTTGCTCTGTGGACATCCCACAGTCTCTTTGAAAAAAGTGGCCCCACCCAGGGCTGGGAGCGGAGCAGGGTGGGGGTGGGGCAAGTCAGGGACCCCCTGACTAGCTGTGGATGGCTGAGACATGGCGCAGAGGAGGGGCAGCCTCGGCTCTCCCAGGCCACCCTCCGTGTCTCTGTCCTCATGGCCCTGCTGCCTTGGCCCAAGTCACTCATAGGACTCAGAGATCACTTTAAACTCTAGCAGCCCAGCGGCCAGGCAGGGCTGCAGCCCAGAGCCCCAGGCTGGCAACACCTTCCTGCACGACCCCTGCCCCCACTGTGTCCAGGGCCACCTTGCTCTACTTGGTCATCACGCCAGCCCTGTCACCGTGTCCTGCGTCCAGGCTGCCCCTGAGGTGGAGCTGCGCCCCCGCCCCCCCCGGACAATGCACACTAGTGTGGGACAGACCCCGCATCCTGCCTCCTGGGTTCACGCTGGTGTGGCCCTCCTTTGGGTGTGGGAGTGGGCTGGAGTTCTGCTTCTGACAGGACGACATGGGGAAGCAGAGGCCACCTCTGAGATCGCGTCAGAAAGGCTGTGACTCCCCCTTGCCAGCCGGTCTCCAGCCTTCTGTTGAAGCAGAATGACTTGTGGGGGGCCCACGTGGGCCAGGATCCTGCCCACAGTGGCTCCTGCTCCTGTGCAGCTGTGAGAGGCCACGGCTCTGTCATCCCTGAAGCCAAGGGCCGAGTAGGCATGACAGGTCCTGACCACGGAGACGAGAGAATGAGCGTGTGCCGTTTTACATGCTACATGTTGAAGCTGCTTGTCACGCAGCCATCGCTGACTGACACTCCCTGGCCGCCTTCTTGCTGCCTCTCTTGCAGCTACAGTGTAGACACATGAGCAGGGCTCTGCCCGTCTGACCGGAAGCCAGTGATGAGAAGCAGTGGCCAGGCCCAGCTTCTGGCCCGTGGTGTTGGCAGGTTGCTCCACAGTGCTCTACGCTGGCCTGAGGCACAGCTGACGGTTTTCCTGGTCGTGTGACATCTTCCCATTTCCTGTCCATTTCCAGAGCCGCTTTTCAGCCACCATGACAATGACCAACCCACCCACCAACAAAGCCCCATCCACCCGGTCAGCCTGGCCCAGGAATCCTGATCCCACGCTGTCACTCAGCACCTCAGCTTCCTTCCCTGCGTCCTGCAAGCTCCTGGCTGTCTGTCGTGTCAGGCGAGTGTGGGCTCCTGGCCCGAGCTGCTCACAGCACCCAGGACCCCACGGGTCCCGGAGCGCAGCTGGGGCTCTGCCTTCTGCTCCCCAGTGAGGGTAGAAGAATAGCAGTGAGAACTGGCCTTTTGTGCTTGGACATTGGAGGTTTGGCATCTGGTGAAAACAGTCTCATGTCTGAAGGAAGTCTGGGCAAGCCGGGGAGACTAGTGGGGGGGGTGGACTCTAGGGGTCCACTTGGCCTGTCTAGTCCATGCTGGGCATTGCTTCATTTTGTGGACATGGCAGTCAGGAGAGTCTGTATAGAGCAGATCACCCATGGGTGGGCCTCATCCAGTCAGCTGATGGCCTTCAGAGCAAAGGTTTCAAGAGGAGGAATCTTCCAGCAACACAGACAGCTGCCTGAGGTCCCACCTGCCGGCCTGTGACATCTCCCAACCTTGACCTGCAGCCTGCCCACCCCAGTGTCAGGATCACCAGCACCCATGTGCACACACACCCGCAGCTGCACCCTCCCAGTGTCTCCAGGACCCCAACCAATGCAGGGCTCCTGGTGGCCACAAGAGGGACATCTGGGGGCCAGAAGCATGTCCTGTGCAGGAGGAGGCGCTGGGGGCCTAACTGACCCACTTCCTTCCAGGGACTCCTGCACCTGCTCAGTCCCACAGGCCCCAGCAGGGACGGCCCCCCGGGACTCGGTGGGAAGGAGGGGCTACAGGCCATAGGCCACAGTAGACGGCTGTGTGTGGTTTTCTAACTTCCCTGAAAAATCTAGCAGTGACCTGGAAAGCAGGTCTGGGAAAGTTTTTCATAACGGCAGAGACACAACTGAAGGGACATGGCCAGCAGGACTGCAGAGCCCCCAAACCAGCAGCTCAGGGCTTGCCCCCCCACACGTGCCCATGCTCCCACACGCCCACAGCAGGACCACAACTTCTGTCCCTTAGACTGCTGGCCTGACTGCCTTCGCTGCCTGCGTAGCCGAGCCCTACCCTGCCTCCACACGGAGTTTCCCGTTCACACCACCACCCATGGACTAGGGAACTGAGGCCACAGGGAGGGTGGGCACTCGGAGGGGCGGGTCTCTCCTGGCCCTTCACCACAGACCCTGAGTGAGGGGCATCTCTGTGTCCAGACTTTTTGCAGGGTGGGGAGTGGCCCTACTTCCCCATCGCCCCCCAGGCCCCTGCATCTTCCTCTCACATCACAGTGATTTGAGGGCTCACTCTGCACCTGGCCTTGGCCAAGCTCCTCCCCCATGCTTGTTCCTGGGGGCTGTTCCTGGCTATCCCACCCTCCTTGGCCAGCACCTTGAGACCCTCCATCCCTACGACCCCGCATGTCTGGCCACCTTCTGGGCTCTGCTTTTCCCAGCTCACCCTCCCCGGTGGAGATCCCTGCTGCAGGCCCCACAGGCCAGTCCTGGAGGCCGCCCCACTCCCGGCACATCCAGGGCACAGGCTGTATCTGGAGAAGTGTGAGGGAGCCGGGCCCCTTGGGTTTCTGCATGTGGAGGTCAGGGCTCAGCGGGTGTGCAGCAGTCCCTCTGAGGGGCGGCTATGGTGGCCCTGTCTCTAGCCAGCACAGGCTCTTCTCCAGGCTGCGGCTTCTGAGCAGAATTGGACTGTCCCTCAAGCGGCTCCCCCACCACCCCAGGCCCTGCTCCCCGCCTGGTGTTCAAAATGCAAGAGGCTCGGTGACGCTCCAGCTGGAGAGGAGGCACCGAGGCAAGAACGAGGGGATGGACCAGCGGCAGCAGGGGCCACCGGGAAGAGAGGACTGGAGGGCTGGGGTGCTCGGCCTGAAGCCCTCCGTGGGCCCCTGGCCTGCCCTGTGGGAGGGTCCCCTTCGGCCTCCCCTGTGCTCCCAGCACCCCAGCACCAGGTGGAGGTTGCCAGCTCCCACCTGACCTCAGGCGGGGCCACTTACTCTGGGGAGGACTCTGGGGTCAGGTTGGACATCTCCTCCGGCGTCGGGACTGTGCGCACAGGAAGGACAGGGAGAGAAGGTGTGGTGACCGCTCTGCCCTCCCCACAGGCCCCTGCACTGTGGGTGCACCGCGGGTGGGTCCTATGGAGCACCCACAAGGGCACAGGTCGGCCCCACCCCCGCCCTGGCCACGGGGAGCTGTCCTGGCCTCTGGTGCTGAAACCAGGCTCCGCCTGCTCTGGCCTCCAGCCAGTCCTGCGGCCTCTCCACAGAGGATGCTGGGCCCCCAAGCTCCTCCCCTCCACACCCAGCACAGGGCAGGCTGCCCTCCACTACCCTGTGGGCTTCCTGACCATAGTGCCCACACCCACCCAGCGGACACCTCTCCTCCTTGGGCCTCAGGAAGCCCATCCTGAGGCGGCCACCGGGCTGAGAGGGGCAAGGGACCCAGGACGGCTCCCATGGCTGTGCCCACCAGGTGTCCAGGTCTGCACCATGTGGGCCCCGGGCACAGGTTGAGCAGGCTGGGGAACACCTAGACATCTGGGGGTGCTGCCCAGGCCTGTGCCAGCCTAGTAGACACGGGCACTGTCCAGCGCTTCTGGTAGGGGGAGCACGGCCCAGCCCCACCCAGCCCTGCCCATCAAGATGAGCAGTGCCCCCTGGGCCCCGCCTCCTGTTCCTGCAGTCACCCAGCTCACCTTGCAGTTTCCGGCGGTGGAAGCGAGGTGACCCCAGGAAGCTATTCTTGATGGAGTTGAGCCTTGTCCTCCAGGGCACCCCTCCGACGCTGGGGCTGGACGGCGGTGTGGGGTTGGGTGTGCCTGCCGGACTCTCCTTGGGCGTGTGCACGGGCGTCCCCTTGGGGGTGGGGAGGGGACTGCCCCTTGGAGAGGGGTGAGGGGTCACCTGTATGGTGGGGACAGATTTGGTGTTCGGTTCAGTTCCTGTGGGTGGGAGCCGGGTGGGGGCAGGCAGGGGGGCCAGCCCCGGGGTCAGGGCNCCGCCAGGGACAGGATGCCGGGCCTGGGTGCCAGCCGGGAGTGGGTTGGACTTGGTGCCCTGCAGAGGCTTGTCGGTCAGCTTGGCCTTGCTCGGCAAGGTCTGGGTCTTGGGGTTGGGCCGTGGGGCGGCCTGTGGAGGGAGGATGTGTCCGGGCCGAGAGGTGCTCTGACAAGCTTCGGGCTCCGTGGAGGTGGCCGGGGTGCAGGCCACAAAGGGGAGCTCAGGGGGTGGGGGGGGCAGGACAAACTTCCTAACAGGCTACAGGGCAGGCAGCAAGCAGGGAGCAGAGGGTGGGGGCCACCATGTGGGGGTCGCCATGCAGGGTGCATGCATTTGCACACCCCCCCATGCACACACAGCACCAGGAGGACCCAGGACACAGGCAGGTGGGGGTGGAGCGTTTGCCACGAAAGAAAACAAGTAACACACGAGAAAACACACAAAACAAAACAAAAAACGTGCAGTTAGCGAGAGCAGCCAGAGCCTGCACAGCAGCAGCACCCACGGAGACCCCACAGCAGGTGGGAGCGGGCGAGGGGCCTCTCCCAGGGCTGCCGGCCCCCCTCCCGGGCACCTTCTGCTTGGGAGTCTGGGTAGAGGGGGGTCACTCACCCGAGGGCTGCTGAGTGGGCTGGTGGAGAGGCCTGAGGAGGCGCCGCTGATGGATCTGGACCTGGGGACACAGGTGCAGAGCGGGGCTCAGCCAGGACAGGCCCCAGGCTCTGGGCTTCTCTTCCCACCGGTAGAGCGTCCGGGAGTCCTGGATGCCAAGGTCAGTCCTGCTGTCCCACCCCCTCTCCACAGGACCAGGAGAGGCCCGGCAGCCCCTTTGGGGCCCCCATCAGAACTCCAGTGGTGCAGCCTCAGGACTCCTCCCCACCACATGGGAGCCGCCCGCAGCTGAGGCCCAAGGCCCGAGGCCCGAGGCCCGGGATAGCAGAGGAACCCCTGCCACGGTCTGCTGAGGGCTCGGACAGACGGAGGACAAGGGAGGCAGCGGCTTCCTGTGAAGTGAACTCAGCCCCATACCAGGCCCGCTCTCCACACTCAGCTGCCCTGAGCTCAACCTGACCCCCAAGGCTGAGCAGGCCCAGGCCAGGGGCACTAGCCAGCCCCTTGGCACCCACGGCCCACCCGCCCGGCCCAGAGCTGCCCACAGCAGGCCAGCCCTCGGCCCTGTCCTCATGCACACCATGAGGACCTGGGCAGGATGAGGCTGAGGTGGGCACTGGCAGGGACCGTGGGCCTTTTCCACCACTGGCCGCACTGGGCTTGCAGGCCTGGCCTAGGCATGGCTGGAGGGGACCGCTGTCCCAATGTGCCTGGCTGAAACAGGCCCACAGCTGCGCCCCTCGGGGCAAACACGGCCTGCAGGGCCTCACCACACCTGCCATCCTTCGAGGAAGGAAACGGGACTGGGGTGCCGACACAGCCCAGGAGAGGACAGGATAACAGAGGACCGCCCTGACACCTGTCCACCCCGGCCGGCATGGCCTGGAGAGCGGTCTCACCTGCCACACCTCGGCCTGGCCCCTGGGCCTTGGGAAGGAGCAGAGCCCATGCTGGCCGGACTCTGGCTCCGGGCCGCTCCACCAGCACCTGTGGGCTGGGGCCCCACGGGCATGGCCGTCCAGCTCCCTCACCTGACACAGGCACAGAGCCGGGGGCTCTGACCCTGACCCAGCCCCCAGCACAGCCTGCCCAGAGTCAGGCCTGGCCCAGAGCTTTCCGATGTGAGAAGGGAGCTGGGGGTGGTCAGTCTACCACCAGCCACAGCAACCGCAGGCCTGCTGACAGCAGCCTTGAGTGAGGCCCAGCGCCCAGGGCCTCCCACGGAGCCAGCACAAGCTTGTCGCTGGGCACAAGGAAGCAGAGAGCAGCAAGGAGAGGGGGGTGGAGCTGTCTGCACCCCTCCTGCCTAGTCAGGTGGCCCCTGGAGACTGAACTGTGGCTGCTCAGACAGAGAACGATGCCCACACCCCAGGAGCCAGGAAGGCAGGGCAGGTGCCCAGAGACTGTGGGGGGACAACAGGGACAGGCCCGACCATACTGCCCTCAGGCAGTGGGCCCTACAGGTGCAGGACAGGTGGCTCAGGAAGGCCGGGCTTGCAGAGACCCCTGTGACTGGCACAACTCCTGCCACCAGCTTGGAATCCTGCAGTGGCTTTGGGACAGCTGAGCCGCCTCTAGCTGCCGCTTCCACTCAGGCCCTAGTGGGCAGCAGGACGGCCCCAGGATCCAGGAGTTAGGGATGGGGGAGGCTAACCAAGGCTACCACCAGCCACAGCAAGGGTGGGCCAGAAGGGGCCTCACGCCTGCAACCCCTCAGGAATCTAGGGCAGGGAGAGCGCAGAGGGTCTCCCAGCCCCTCTCAGGCTGGCCGTCGGCCTCGCCCAGCAGCCCACTCCTCCTGGGCCCCAGCCTGGCCTGACCCAGCCCTTCCCCCGGCTTCTGGAAGGTTCCCTTGCCGAAGGGGAGAGGGCCAGACCCGCCTCAAGCCAGGCCCTGCCACCAGTCGCCTGGGGGGCTGGGGGGCAGGGGCAGTGGGCAGGGTGTATACCTGTCTTCTTTGCTGAATTGGGGGTGGGCTTCAGCGATATCCAGGCTTTTACTGAACATTGCTTTACTACAGCGGGAACAAAGCGAGAAAACACAATTACTGCCACGGCCTGTCTGGCGGCCCGGAGGCCAGACCTCCACACAGCTTCGAGCTGGGCCCAGGGCACGGACCAGGGCCACAGCGTCCCCTGGTGGCCTGCAGGGCACTCACCACCAGCCCCACTGTCAGCACCTCGTGGCCAAAGGAGGAGGCACAGCCCCAGGAGCTGCAGGGCTGGGAGGTGCCAGGAGGAAGGGGCTTTTTGATGAGCATCAAGCTGGGTCACACTGACCCCACCCCAGCACCTTAGCACCCCAGTACCCCAGCACCCCGGTGGCAGCCAGGCCTGGGAAGCAGAGTAGAAGCCAGGGCAGGGTGGCCTCCCATGCCTGGCCCCTGCCCCAGACCCAGGTGGATGGGGTGGGAAGGTGCAGAGTGGCTGGTGCAAGGAGGGTCAGGTCGGCAGGAGGACAGGGGCCAGGCGTGGGGAGCTGGGCTGGGGAGCCGTGCACCCGAAACAAGCAGGGCAGGGTCGGGGCAAGAACACGACCAGCAGGGGACCTTCCCCCTGTTCCTCCCCCCACCCCACCCAGAGCCAGCGGGCAGTGGGCCACGGCTGTCTGGAGACCTGGATAGAGGCTCCAGAGGGCTGAGACCCCAGGCCAGAGGCTGAGCCAGCCTGGTTCCCTGGAGAGGACCCAGGACCACCAAGGGGCTGTGGCCACCGGCCCAGTTTACTCTTTTTTTTTTTTCCCCCCAATTTACTCTTGATGGTGGCCCTGCTGTCCTGCAGTTCCCGTTTGCAAGCAAATTCCTTGGGAAGCTTGGTCAGCTGGGACCACCNGCAAGCAAATTCCTTGGGAGGCTTGGTCAGCTGGGACCACCCACGGTGCCCTGGGGCCCCAGACTGCTGAAGCCTCCATCTGGGCAAGAACATTCGGCCTCAACCCAACAGGGCATGCTCAGCGCCAGGTGAGGATTGGCCAATGGCCTCGCCCGGCCAGCCCCAAAACAGCTGTGGCTGTGGGGCCAGGATGCCCCACCTTTCTCCAGTGGATCTGTTGGGACAGCCCAGGCCTGCTCATGGTCCCCCAGAATTCCACTTCCCTGACCATTGTGGGCATAACCATAGGTGACCCAAACACAGGGCCAGTGGTAAAATGGGGGCAGGCCTGCTAGGCTGCCAGCTCTGAACAGAGCTAGGCCATGATCTAGTTACTCCACCTCAGCTCACCATGTTCCAGCTCAGCCCAGCCCAGCCCAGTGCAGTCCAGCCCAGCCCAGCCCAGCCCAGCTCAGCCCAGTCCAGTCCAGTCCAAATCATCTCAACNTACCTCAGCTCACCATGTTCCAGCTCAGCCCAGCCCAGTGCAGTCCAGCCCAGCCCAGCTCAGCCCAGTCCAGTCCAGTCCAAATCATCTCAACTCAACTCAGCTCAGCTTAGCCCAGCCCAGCTCATCCAGTCCAGTCAAACACAAAACTCAACTCAACTCAGGTAAGCCCAGCCCAGCTTAGTCCATTCCAGTCCAACTCAGCTCAGCTCAGCTCAGCCCAGCCCAGCGCAGTCTAGTCCAGTCCAACACAACTCAGTTCAGCTCAGCCCAGACCAGTTCAGTCCAGTCCAGTCCAACCCAACTCAACTCAGTCCAGCTCAGTCCATTCCAGTCCTACTCAATTCAACTCAACTCAGCTCAGCTCACCCCAGCTCAGTCCAGCTCAGTCCAGTCCAACTCAACTCAGCTCAGTCCAACTCAGTCCTGTCCAGTCCAACTCAATTCAACTCAATTCAGCTCAGCTCAGCTCAGCCAAGCTCAGTCCAGTCCAACTCAACTCAGCTCAGCCCAGCTCAGTCCAGCTCAGTCCGGTCCAACTCAACTCAGCTCAGTCCAACTCAGTCCTGTCCAGTCCAGCTCAACTCAACTCAATTCAGCTCAGCTCAGCCCAGCTCAGTCCAGTCCAACTCAACTCAGCTCAGCTCAGCCCAACTCAGTCCAGCTCAGCCTGGTCCAACTCAACTCAGCTCAGTCCAACTCAGTCCTGTCCAGTCTAACTCAATTCAACTCAATTCAACTCAATTCAGCTCAGCTTAGCCCAGCTCAGGCCAGTTCAGTCCAACTCAATTCAACTCAACTCAGCTCAGCTCAGCTCAGCCCAGTCCAGTCCAGTCCAGTCCAACTCAACTCAGCTCAGCCCAGCTCAGTCCAGTTCAGTCCAACTCAATTCAACTCAACTCGGCTCAGCCCAGCCCAGCCCAGCTCAGTCCAGTCCAGTCAAACTCAACTCAACCCACCTCAGCTCAGTCCAGTCNCCAGCTCAGTCCAGTCCAGTCCAACTCAACTCAGCTCAGCCCAGCTCAGTCCAGTTCAGTCCAACTCAATTCAACTCAACTCGGCTCAGCCCAGCCCAGCCCAGCTCAGTCCAGTCCAGTCAAACTCAACTCAACCCACCTCAGCTCAGTCCAGTCCAATTCAACTCAACTCAGCTCAGCTCAGCTCTGCCCAGTCCAGCCTACCTCACCTAGTCCAGTCCAACTCAACTGAACTCAGCTCAGCCCAGCTCAGTACAGTCCAACTCAACTTAGCTCAACTCAGCCCAGCTCAGTCCAGTTCAACACAACTCAATTCAGCTCAGCCCAGCCCAGTGCAGTGCAGACCAGCTCAGCTTAGCTCAGTCTAGTCCAGCCAAGCTCAGCCCAGCTCAGCTCAGCTCAGCCCAGTCCAGCCCAGCTCAGCCCAGCTCAGCTCAGCTCAGCTCAGCTCAGCTCAGCCCAGCCCAGCTCAGCTCAGCTCAGCCCAGTCCAGCCCAGCCCAGCCCAGCTCAGCTCAGCTCAGCTCAGCCCAGCCCAGCTTGACTCAGCCCAGTCCAGCCCAGCTCAGCTTAGGCCAGTCCAGCCCAATCCAGATCAGCTCAGCTCAGCCCAGTCCAGCCCAGCTCGGCTCAGCCCAGTCCAGCCCAGCTCAGGCCAGTCCTGTCCAGGATGGCCAAACACAGCCCAGGCCAACAAAGCAAAACCCTGCCCAGCTCAGCCCAGCTCAGCGCGTGCAGCACAGTGCGACTGACCCAGCCCCAGGGCCAGGGGGCAGAGATGACTTAGGCCCAGCACAGCCCAGGAGGAGTCAGCCCAACATTGACCAGCCAAGGCACCAGCAGGTAGGGCACTGGGTCCTTCCAGAAGACACATACCTCTGGCTGTGCTGGGCCATCTCAATGGCGCGCCGAGCGGGCACCGGAGAGCCACCATCCGTCACGCTGAGCACCTCCATGGACTTGCGTTCCGGCCGCCGTTTGCCGTGCCGGTTCAGCATCGGGGAGTCCACACGCTTCCGGGGAGGGTCTGCGTGCAGACGGGGGTCAGGCCGGCAGCCCGCCGGGTCTGGCAGGGGTGGGGCGGGGCCAGGCCTCCCTGGGATCCTGTACCTATTTCGTTCCTGGGGGGCAGGTCCTCATCCTCGTGGCTGGGGTACCTTTCTTTCCGGTCCAGGAGGAGGAAGTAGATCATCTTCTCCTGGTTCTCCCTGCGGGGGGTGGGGAGCCCGGAGAAGGGTCAGCAAGCACAGGCCCGTCCACCGATGGACGGTGCTCCCGGGGCCACGGCATTCCCCACCCCGCCGCCTGCGGACCCCACGCGGGACGTACTCCTCCGACAGTAGGTCCTGCAGCAGCTTGTTTCGGTCTCGGAAGCAGCCCAGCGAGTGCATGCTGTCCAGCACGTCGGGGTCAATGTCCTCCAGGCTGGGCAGCGAGCGGATCTGCACCTTCCGGGGGATGGGCTGCTCCGGCTCCGGCTCGTTCTTGCCGCCTCTGTGGAGGACAGGGCACCACCAGCGGTCACTGACCTCGGCGAGCCTGAGGCTCCTCCCCCCCAGCCCTTCCTGGGGACCCTGAGTCCTGCTCTCTCCCTGTCCCAGCCCCTGTACACCTCCTGCGTCCTGCTGTGCCCAGTGCAGGCCGGCCGGGAGGCCCTGAGCGCCGGCTGGGGCCGGGGGCAGGCCTGCGCTGGGCTGGGTGCTCCCCCCGCCTTCCCTAGCAGGCACTCCAGGCCGAGCGACAGGCAAAGCAGGCGATGAGTGGGAGGAGAAGCTACTTACATATACCATGTGTGTTTCTGAATGTGCTCTAGCTACAAGAGAGAGAAACAGGAGGTTAGTGTGGAGGGAGCGGGAGCCCGCGTTAGGAGGCCAGAGGGAGCAGGAGCTGGGAGCACCTGGGGAGGGAGGAGCACCGTGGAGGAAGACAGGAGCGCCAGAGAGCGGGAGGGGGCCGGGAAAGGGGGAGAGGGTATGGGAGGGAGGAAGGGGGAGGG